CGGTGCGGGCAGGGCTCCGCTGTGGTGCAGGTACCGCGCGGCGGGTCCCGCGCCCGCGCTGGGGGCCGGGCACGGACGGGGCAGCGGGACCCTCGCTGTCCCCCCAGGACATCGGACCCTTGCCGCTCGCCAGGGGACCCTCGCTGTCCCCAAGGATAGTGGGACCCTCGCTGTGCCCCCATCCATCCCCGCAGAGCCCAGGGCCGGGGGGCCGGAGCAGCGACCCCCACCATGGGGGTCCCGTCCATCGGCAGGGCCGGGCATCGCTCCCCCAGCGCCAGCTTTGACTGAGAGCCGTGACGTCAGAGCGAGAGCCGTGACGTCACCCACCGGCCACGCCGCTGCCCGCGAGGGCCGGGGGCAGGGGGGGAAGATGGGAAGCGGTGCCGGCACCGTCGTCAGGCACCGTGAGCCCCCTCTGCGTGATGTCATATGTTTTAAAATGACGTCACGCGTCTGACCCGCCCCGGGGAGGCAGCAGCGTGGGAGATGTTTCGGGCTGCCGCGGCACCAGATGTTCGGGAGAAGGTCCAGATGTTCCCGGGAAGCCGCCCCTGCAGCAGGGCCGGGGGAGCGCAGGCACGGCATGTCCCGGGGAGCTGGAGGGCGTCCCGGGGGCCGGTTCTGTATTTCCCGCTCCCCCAGAGCCCCCAAACCTCGCGCACGACCGGCGGAGCGGGGCGATTCTCGTTCCTCCCACGCGTGGACTCCGGCCAGTGTCCCGCAGCCCTCTCCCCCTCCGGTACCGCCCTGGACCGGAGGCTGGCGGGCCTGAGGGGGACCGGAAAACCTCTTCCCAGTCCGGAACCGCTCCGGCGGGGATTCGGCCTCCCGGAGTGTCCCGGTGCGAAGTGGGGGAGCCGCGCTCCCGGGCCCCCCGTTTGATGCTCGTAACGGCAGCGCGGAGAGTTCACCGGCGCCGCGACGGGAGGAGCGGGGGGGAACGCGGGGACCCCTCCCGCGGGGCTGCGGGCCCCGGAGCTCCGGTGGCGGCCCTGCCTCTGCCCCGGCCCCGCACTCCCCGCACCGGCAGCCCCGGCCCCGCATCCCCCGGTGCGCCCCGGTGGCACCGGCGGTGCGGCAGCGCCCCCTGGCGGCTCCGGTGTGGCCCTGCCCGGTGCGGTCCCTCCGACCAATTGGCCCGTTCGGCCCCCGCGTGGGAACCCCCCAAGCAGCGAACCCCCCGCCCAAGCGACGAGCACCCCCCCTCTCCCAGCCACGGTTCCCGTCCCCGGTCCGGTACCGGCGAGCGGGAGCGGGCGCAGCCCGGGACTGGCCGCGGGCTCGGACCCCAGGGCGGGGACCGGGGCTCGAACCGGGGGGTACAGGTGCAGCCCGGGACCACCGGCCCGGCCCCGGGGCACCCGGCACGGCGCGGACACGGGACCGGGGCTGGCCCGGTGCGGGAGCAGCCGCGGGGGTGGGCGGGGAGCTTGGGGGGGCAGCGAGGGGGAACCGGATTGGGGCAGGAGCGGGGGCGGCTGTCAGAGATGGGGCGGGGGGCGCACGAGTGAGCGGGGGCTGAATGGGACAGCGGATGGGGCGGGTGTGGGGTCACCGGTGGAGAAACAGGGGGTAAGAGTGGGGCCGTGAGCGGAGACACGAGTGGGCGGATATGGGGCAAGAGTGGAGTCACGAGTGGGTGGGGGCGGATACGGGGCGGGTGTGAGGCCACAGCCCCTCGGGGGGGAGGTCCGGGGGTCTCGGGTCCTGCCGAGGCTAGTCCGGGTCCCGGCCCCGGTGCCCTCCCGCCCCTCCCGCAGGTCTCCTCCCCCTTCCTGTGCTCGGCGCTTCCCGGCGGAGCGGGGCCGCCGCGGGGACCGGCCGCGCCCGCCGCCGCCATGCACTGAGCGAGAGGCCGCGGGGACCGGCCGCACCGGCCGCCCCCCGCCCGCGGCGGCTCCCGCCAGGTAACGGAGGCCGGGACCGGGGGCTCTTTCGCCGCCCGGCACCTCCCGCCCCGCCCCGGGACTCGGGCAGGGGCGCCGGGCTGGCGGGCGGGGGAACGGGGGTCTCCGGGGTGGGGGAGGCTGCTCGGGGGCGGGTGGGGGTCCGGGCAGCGTGTCGGGCTGAGCGGGGGTCTCTGGGGCGGGGAGCGGAGCGAACTGTCAGCCGGCACTGGGGGTGTTTCGGGTGGGACGGGGAAGGGGCTCTGGAACCGGCACCGTCGAGGTTGGATCGGCCGCGCGGGTGGAAACGCAGCTCACCCCAGTCAACAGTCCCTCACCCCTGTCCTGGCACCCCTGTCCTGGCACCCCAGTGTCTGGGGGCGGAGGGTGCGCGGGGCAAAGCAACACCCGCCGGGGGCTGCGGCGGGGAGCGCCAGACCCCCCCCACCCCCCGTCCCGCCGGTGGGACCCCGACAGCGAGTTCCTGGGCCGAGAGTGGGTCCAGCCCGGATTCCCCGCGCCGTGAGTCACCCTGGGCTGGGCCACAAGGAGAAGGCCCCCGCTCCTCTTCCTCTGCACCGCGAGAGCTTTCACTGCCTGAGCGCGGTCAGCTGTGGGAAGCCCCTGGCACCACGTGGGCTCTGCGGTGTCTTCCCCGTGGCACCGTCACCGATGTCCCACAAGGTCCCGTGTCCTGTGCTCGGCCAGAGCAGAGCCCAGGTGTCCTGAGCATCTGGAAAAGCCCCATGTCCGGGCTCCTCCTACCCGACCTTCCCATCTGGGAGACCCCCGGACCCCCCCAGGGAGGTGAAGCCCCTCGTGTGGAGGAGGAAGTGAAAGTGGCTGCGCCGAGGGACTTGGGGAGGGGGAGCGGGCGGTGGAGCCTCCTCTCTGGGGGTGACTCCTGGGGGGCACGAGCCCGGTGGAGACCGGGAGGCTCGGGGTGCATCCACAGTGGATGCACCTGCAGTTGGTGCAGGTGTGGGGCTGGAAGCTGCCAAGGAGGCTGCTTTGCTGGAGTGACCTGGAGGAGGGTCCCCGCGGGAGGTTCCCCCCAGGAGGGAACCAGGAAAGGCTGTTCTGTAGAAGAAGAAGAAGAGGAAAATACGGAAATTAGGATAGGAAGGCTGAGCTGAAGGAGCTGCTGTGACTGATGCTGGGAGGGGACAGGCATGTCCCCCCCACCCCAGCTCCTCCTGGGCTGGGGGAGGAGGGAGCAGGAGGTGGCTTCTCCTGCAGACTCTCAGCAGATCCAGGCATGCCTGGATTACACTCCAAGTTGGTGCTTCCAGCCAGCAGCTGCCTCCCAGGGCTGAGCAGAAATACAGGTTTAATGGGGGAGGAGGAGGATGGCGATTACACCTCGAGAGTGGCAAAAGGAGAGGCTGGTTCTCCCTCCTGCCAAGATCCCACTGGGGCAGCGGGGAGAGCCCAGCAGCATTCCCGGCATCGGTGGCTGCGTTTCCCACGGGGCAATGACCGCTCCGGAGTAACCTCGTCCCTGGGGCCGTGCGTGTGTGGGGTGAATCACCGGGATCTGTTTGCTCGGGGCGGGCCCGGAGCCGAAAGCAAAAGCATTTCTGGAAGGCGTCAGGCTCCGGCCGCCATGGAGCCTCATGGGGGGGTCCGGGAGGGCTGATCCCACGGGAAGCGCAGGACCCCGGGGGCCACCACACCGCCACCATCCCAGGGAGCTCCTGCTCGGTGCCAAGGCCGCGGGCGGTTGTTTGCGCCGGCTGCGACGTTGCCCAGTGACGCCTTGGCTTGGCTTCCTTCCCCTCGCAGGGTTTCTCGGAGTCTCTCAGCTCCACCTCCGCCTCGGCTCTCGCCGCGCGGCCCAGGCCCGTGGGGAACGCGCTGCCCGCGGGGGCACCTGACGCGATCCCCTGTTTGCGTTCGGGGACGAGGAGCCAGGCCTGGGTGGACGGGCTGGCCGGGGTCCCACCGGTGCCTCGGCCCCTCGGCAGGGCTGTGAGACACCGGCTCTGCGGGATCTGCTGCCGGATCAGGCCTCGGCCCCGGCCGCTGCCACGGAACCGGCAGCGAGGTGCGTCTGCGTGGGGACCCCCCTCGCCAGCCGGGGCTGCAGTGGGGGCTGGAGGGTGTGAGCGTGGTGGGAGGAAGGGTGGGAGCTGCCAGGAAGAGGGATGGGGTGGGCAGGACGTCGGCACCGCTGAGGGGCCGGGGTGGGACTGTTGGGGTTCCAGCTTGGGGCATGGTGGGACTGTGACACCCCCCCCCAGCCCAGACCTTCCGTGTGCAGTTTCCTATCTGGTGCCTCATTCCAGCCCTTCTCGTGTTTTCCATGAGCTGTGGAGACCACCGGGGCAGCTGGGGAAGGGGCCTTCCTCATGGGGGAGAGCTGAGGAGTTTTTGAGGGACAACCAGGGTGTCTCACCCTGGGTGAGACCACCCTGGCAGAGCAGCCTCTCCACGCTCAGGGGGAGTTCACACTCCTCCCGCTCCCAGAGGGTTTCACATTCTTCTGGCTCTCCCAACCCTCCTGTGCCAAGTCCAGCAGCACTTCTCCCGTCCATCCTTGTGTCCTTGTGTGACACCCACCTTGTGGGATTCCACAGAGATGTGGGAAACTGAGGCACAAGTGGCCTTCCTGCCTGCTCAGGATTGCCCAAGAGGCTGATCCTGGATTAGTCTTCCCACTCCTCCTCCTCCTCCTCCCCCCCAGCAGCCCCGACCTGCTGGAGGAGCAGGTTCAGATGCAGAGGGACGGGCAACAGCTCTCGCCCCCCTCCCTGAGGGGCTGTCAGCCCTCGACCCCCCCAGAGCTGGGCTGGGGGCTGCCTGAGCGACCCCGCTCCCATCCCCTCTCCTGTTTGCCCACAGGTGACTGTTCCCAAGATGTCCCTCTGGAACATCGTGTCCCACATGCCACAGGAGGAGTTCAGCAGCCTCTCCCCAGAGTTCCCCCGGAGCCTGCGCTGCCTCCTGGCCGACTGGCTGGAGAACCAGCCCTGGTGAGTCCCCGGTGCCCCTTCCTGCCCGGAGCAGCGTGGGGCTGGGGGTCACACAGGGGAGGGTGGTGGATCCGTGCCCGTTCTCCCAACCTTTTCCCCCCTCCAGGGAGTTCATCAATGGCTCGGACGCCTTCTGCACCAGCGTGGCCAGCAGGTTGTTCTCGGCCATGCTGGAGAAGCTCCGCGGCGCTGCCGGGCCTGAGGGGCAGCAGTGCCAGGTCCTCCAGCAAGTCAACGGCCTCGAGGTGTGTGGGGACCCTCGGGATGGTCCCCCTGTGACCCCCATTTCCAGGCTCGTGGGCAACGAGCTCGTGTGGACTCAGCGAGTGGCTTTTTGGGGTGTTCCAGATGACAGAGGGGGGTTGTTTGTGTCCCAGGGCTGTGACCTCAGCTCTGCAGACCAGTGGACCCCAGGGAGCTGCCACATCCCCCCCAAAACAGACCCTGACCCTGTGGGGAACCTCCTGAGCCCCTCAGCCCCCCATGGCCCCAACTGTCAACACCAGGGGCCACTTCACCAGATTCTTCCCCATTTTCTGCTCAAGCATCTGATTTCTCCTTCCTCTGTGCCGTGTGGGGCTGCGTTTCCTCCCGTCATGGGCACTGGGTTTCGCTTTTGGGGCTGTTTCTCTTATTGGGGCTGTTTCTCTTGTTGAGGCTGTTGGAATTGCTCTGTTCCTCTCCCACCCTCTGATTTATCCCCCCTCTCTGGCCAGCGGAGCTTGGAACGCCAGGGCTGAGCAGGACTCGCTCCCAGAGCCCTGTTCAGGTTGAAAACTCTGCTCTTTGGGTAACAGACATTTTTAATATCCAACATTTGGGAAGGGATCAGCTTTAGTCACAACTTCTGGGGAAGAGGATGACTTTCCAGAACAAGACTCTTGCTTTTTGCAATGGCTGCAGGAAACAAGCAGATGTTTCAGCTCCTGCTGAAGCAGAGCTGCCCTCCCATGTTCGTGTTCCCTCCTCTGCCCATCCCTCATCCCAGAACACCAATCCCTGGTTTCTCTGTGGCTGTTCCCCTCTGTTGGTGCTGCCGTGGGCGGTGGGAGCCGGGTGCTCCCCAGGATGGGTAACCACAGAGTCAGGGGTGCAGGGAGGAGCCAAACCCGGGCCTTTTGCACCTTGAATCCCACGTTTTCCCTGGGGGAGCCCTGGGGGCTGCCAGTGCTGCACTCAGACCCCCGTGGATCTGCAGCAGAGCTGCCTCCCACCAGGACAGGAATGCACCGAGCACCCACGGCTGTGCCCCGCTGGGTTCTGCTGCTGTTTTGGGAAGTAGCTAATTTGGGAAATGGGTGAAGGCCAGAGGAGCTGGCATAGGGCACAGGAGCTGGAACCAGCAGGGGAATTCCTCCCTTTCCGCTGTTTTCAGTGGAAAGCATCGATCCACCCAGGGCAGCTCAGAGCCTCTCCCAGGTGTCAGGCTGGAAAGGCTCGAGGC